ATAATAATTCCCACTGGTGGAAAGTATGTAAGGAAAATGAAATAAGATAATATGACATTAACAGGGTGGGAAGGAGGAACTACACTGCAAGGAGTGGTTAGGGAGAGCCTTTGAGAAGAAGTGACATTGGAACTGAGATCTGAATAACAGAAGTTTTTGAGAAAGCATCACAGAGAGAGGTAAACAGCAGCAGACTGAAGCATAGTCAAGAAGACACAGAGTGGAGCAAGATGAGAGCTAGGTAGAGGTCTTTTTGCAGGACTTGGATGAGTTTGGATCTTACTCTCTGGACAGTGGACACACTGTAGTATTTTAAGTGGAGGAGTGACATGATCTGACCAGCCTCTAAAACAACTGCTCTAGGATTCCACTTTCAGCTTTGATAGCATAGACCTCCCAACCTGCCAAGAACAATATATAAAAACTAGGAGACTGAAGACACCAGAGAGGTCAAGGCAATTAGCACTTGAGGGGCCACGACCCCAGAAAGAAGGGAAACAGAGGTGAGTTACTGAAATTAAGATAATGTAGCCTATTGGGCCAATGACAGGCGAAATAGAACAGACTAGAGAATCAAAAAACAGGCCCACAGAAAAGCAGTCATTTGGCTTATGTCAAAGTTGCCATTGCATTGCAAAATGGGTCAAAAGGAGGATCTTTTCAATAGATTGTGCTTGGTTAATAGAATATCCATACGGGAAAAAATGAATCTTGATCACTGATAATAAATTCCAAAATGGATTACATTTCCCAAATGGAAATGGTGAACAAGAAAGCTTGTAAATGAAAAATTAGAGAAATATCTTCATGAACTCCGAGTAAGCAAAGATTTGTTAAATGGGACACACAAAAGACTAAGGAAAAGACTGATAAGTTGAACTTAATTAAAATTGAGAAAGTCTGACCACTAAAAGTATCACTAAGAAAGTAAAAAGGCAAGTCATGGGGTAGGGGGAAAACACTTTTAAAACTTATCTTATATCTAGAATATATCATGAATTCTTAAAACAAAAACAAAAGACAGAGAATCAATTTAAAAATGGACCAGAGA